AGCCATCATTGTTGTTTGGTGGGCCTGGGCTGGGGATTCGAACCCGCCACCTTAGGTGTATGTGGCTGGCGCCTTAGCCACTTGAGCCACAGGCGCCGAGCCGACACAGTGAATTCTAATTATGTTTTGCATTCACTTCAGCATGTATGCTAATTATGTGGCTGGGATAATTCAAACAATCAAGTGTTTATGTAAGGGCGGAAGGGAAACAAATATGAAAAGGAGGCCGGGTGCAGTGGCTCACGCCTGTAATCCCAGCAGTCTAGGAGGCCAAAGTGGTAGACTGCCTGAGCTCATAGGTTCAAGACTAACCTGAGCCAGAGTGAGACCTTGTCTCTAAAAATAGCCAGGCACTGTGGCGGGCACCTATAGTCCCAGCTGCTTGGGAGGCCGAGGCAAGAGAATCACTTAAGCCCAGGAGTTTGAAGTTTCTGATGAGCTATGATGCCACAGCACTCTACTGAGGGTGACCAACTAAGACTCTGTTTCAAGAAAAAAAAAAAAAAGAATAAGAAAAAGAAAATCACTTGAAGCATATACTCTAGGAGGAGGTTACAATTAAGTGAAGAAACAAAAAGATTCAATGAAAGTATTGTAGCTATTGGGATAAATGACACGGCGTGCTACTTGGTCACAGACATATTAGATCTTTAAATGTATATAATACAAAAGAATTTACAGAGGCTCAGCACCTAGGGCACCAGCCACATACACCGTACCTGGCCCAGCACCGGCCTGCCAAAACAACAATGACAACTACAACCAAAAAATAGCTGGGCGTTGTGTCAGGTGCCTGTAGTCCCAGCTACTTGAGAAGCTGAGGCAAGAGAATCACTTAATCCCAAGAGTTTGAGGTTGCTTGTGAGCTGTGATGCCACAGCACTCTACCCAGGGCAAGAGCTTGAGATTCTGTCTCCAAATAAATAAATAAAAATCCAGTTGGCAGCAGTAGAGAAGCTGGAGGCAGTACAATACTAAACACAGAACAGGCACTAAATAAATATCTGGTCAATGTGGTTTGACAGGAAAATAATGTAAATTTATTTATTCCTAAACCTCTGTTGAGTAAGTTCCTAAACTGAGTGTAAATCATACCTTAGAAGGAGGTGGTACAGGCTTAGGAACCAGGTTCTTATAGACACTTGGAACTATGGAGGATGATTTGTTTCCATTTGCGGGGTGAGATCCTGGTGAGGTGAATGCAGCAGCGAAGGCAGCAGCAGGATCCTCTTTGGAAACTTTTTTGATAACTAGCATTTTGGAGGGTTGCTTGGCACTAGGTGGGTTTTCTGTGAAATAAAATAGTGGAAAGACAAAAAAGTGTTAAACCTATTGTGTCACATGAAGTGGTAGTTATATAAAGGTCTCACCTTTAATAAAGAGGTTGACAGTTTAGACAGAGGGACATGCATTTTCTGATGTGCACTTAATAGAAACTCTCAGAAGTGAGACTACGAGGGAACTGTAGGAATAAAGGCAATATTTGAAGCACTGATACTAAATTCATAAATTAACCAGAAAGCCCAAAGATATTAGCAAACCTTACAGCGCACAACAAATCTAATGTATAGTGTGGTCAGGCATTAACCAAACAAGAATATATACAAGGGGAGCAGCTCCTGTCAGGATGGGAATGGAGAGAGAAGAGGTAATTAGGGAAAGGAGTCTGTCAAGGGACCCTCTGACAAGGGAAACTTGAGCAAATTATTATTATTATTATTATTTTGAGACAGAGTCTCACTATGTTGACCTCGGTAGAGTGCCATGGTGTCACAGCTCACAGCAACCTCAAACTCTTGGGCTCTGCCTCCCAAGTAGCTGGGTCTACAGGTGCCCACCACAATGCCTGGTTATTTTTTGGTTGTATTTGTCATTGTTGTTTGGCAAGCCCAGGCTGGATTTGAACACACCAATTCTGTTGTATGTGGTTGGCACTCTAGCCACTGAGCACCAAGCCAACCTGAGCAAATTATTAACAAAGAGAAGAAGGTACAGAAATCACCATTAATCCTATAACACTGAATCTAAAACCATTTAGATGTGTTAAAGACTTTCCAATAAGACATCTGGCCAGTGAACGTGTTTAATGAAGGGACCAGGAGAGTCCAATGTGTAAATGCCATAGATTAGCTATGGTTTGAAATAACAGTGGTTCCTATCTGGTAGTTTTTAATAAATCCAGTCATTTATAAATATATATATATATATATATATTTATATATATTTTCCCCTTGCCCTGTCTAATAAGCATCATTTATAACTATAAAAACAAACAACTAGAACCTGGTTAAAGAAAATGGTGTATTTATAGGATGTTACATTACATAAAAAACTACTTTTTAAGAATATCTAATAATATGGAGGAGCCAGAGAGAGTGCTACCTTCCTGTAATCACAGTTACTCAAGATCTGGGGTGGCAGCATCACCTGGGCAATGTAACAAGATCCTGTCACTTAAAGAAAAATATATAAACATACACACACACTTACATATGGGGGAATTTTTAGTATATATCTTTATGTATACTCACTGTAAGTTTAGAAGACAATCATAACATAAAAATTTAATTTGTTATAACTGAATTAGCAACATCAATCAAATATTCTTATAAATTTTATATTATTCTCCTATTACTTGAAGTATTATTCGAAATTCAGGTAATCTCTCAATTGTCTATATTCTGACTCAATTTCTGTGACTACTTTCAATACTGTTCTGGGAGATAAAGTAACCTGCGATAGCTGTAGACACTTAGATTACTGGAGAATAGATGTTAGTTAGCATGGCCCAATGGATGAGATGAAAAATAAGAGATAAACAAAAAGAGAGATCAAGAATTGTTGTTCCTATGCTTGCCAAGAGAAATTTAAATGTGTGCCTTTAAAACAGCAAAATCTACGTACCCCACACTCCAGAAGGGGTCCCAAAAGGTCTGCATGGCTGATTCTGTTTGCCAGCTTCTGGATTCAAAGAAGGCTAGGAAAAAAGGGATATGAATGGTTGACACAGTAGGATGATCATTCTGGCACTTTCACAAAGTAGCCATCAACATGGAACCTATCAAATAATTACACATTAGAAGCATTTAATAATTTAACACTGTATTCAGAATTACAACAAATAGAAGATACTGAAATATAACATCAATAGATACTATGTTAATCTTTTTTTGAGACCATGTCTCACTATGTTGCCCTCGGTAGAGTGCCATGGCATCACAGTTCACAGGAACCTCAAACTCTTGGG